TTTATGAGAATCTTTACGCGAAGATTCTGAGTGTCAAATATCTTTAACGATTGAATTGAATCTCGTATTTATAAATTTACGGCAAGCCCAATTAATAGCGTCGTCGCGAAAAGAAGAAGAAACAATTAACTTGTTCCGGTGGTGGGTGGTGCGATAGTAAAAAGATATGTGGTGTCGTGGGACATCGGACAGGAACGAAGTTCCTTATTATAGAAATATTAATTTTAAGTTCTATTCGAGGTATAAAGAAAATTAAACTGGAGATTTCGCAACAACCCACGGTCATTCGGTAACGTGCGAACTTATTGTGGTACACTTCATTCACGATTGCTTGCATAAGAGTTAGTGTATTGCGCAAACGAACGCTCTAAGATCGTGGTCAATGAATGATAAAAAATATGTTATTTTTTGTACGTTATTACAAAGTTAAGTCGTACACTGTGTGCATTACTAATTTGAACGTTATTACAAAGCTAAGTCGTACACTGTGTGCATTACTAATTTGTACGTTATTACAAAGCTAAGTCGTATACTGTGTGCATTACTAATAAAAATCTTACGTTACGGACGTTTTTTCCCGGTTACGGTACCCCTACGCATCGTCCCATAAGAAACTTAGTTCCAAAAAATAGATGAATGGATAAGAAAAAATAAGGGCAGAAGAATGCACACAGAAAAAAGCATTTAAATACTTCTATTTCTCTTAAAATAAAGTCAGAGGTTAAAATCGACAGGATCCAGTAAAAGTGAGTAACTGAATCTTAGTTGTGCATTTCGAAGCTGGTAATTGAATCAAAATACAGTATATAAGGGTTGGTTTAATAACGGTTTGGTTGGTTATCGCTATAGAAGGGTTGTTTAATCATATCTAAGTAAAGTTAGTTTCGTCTGACAACAACGTTAATGGAAGTTTCGCGATGAAATGTTTTCCATTGCTTTATTTTAAACGAAGTATTGCTTTGATCATTCGTTGTAAATGTTATTTTGGTACGAGTAGCGCCATCTGGCGTCGAATAGCAAAAACGGATATCAAAACAACTATTACTATTGGGAACGATCGGAAAGTAATATGGTGGTATGAGTAACGCCATCTGCTGTCAAATAATACTACAGTATTATCGGGAATATTCTGGAAAATTGTAGAAATGTGTCGACTGTAAAATCGTTGCAGAGACGGCATAAAGGCAGTTAGTAATCAGTTCTACACGAAGCGAAAAAAACATAAGGATCATATGATGCGAAGCGAAAGAAGTGAATCGTGATATTGAACTACCTACCTTAAGGGTCATAATAATTAAATTGAGTTTTAAATCATATTTCGGTGAAAATTTTTAGTTACCGAACGTTCTAGCGCGTTACATAAATAAAGCAAAGCATGAAATATTTCACTGAAAACCTTTTTTTAGGTAGTTTTATAAATAAGAACTTATGTAGAATTGAGATCGTGGCAAATAAATTAAAAATGACTGAATCCAGGGTAAGTTTTATTGTTCTCATGCCAAATCGTCCCTATTTATCCAACTAACAATTAATTCACACACTTTTCATTGTTTATTTATTTTATGTTTGAAAAGTTACTGGTGGCTCAGAAGCCTTTCCAGTTTTATCAGGGCAGGTGCGCGAGCAAAGGCTCAGCCAGGAGGGGTGAGATTTGCTAACAGCTACCTGAGCGCCTCCAAAGGAGACCTAACAACTCAAGAGCAAGTGCTTCGCGAATGAATCTACTACCGGATCGGAATCGTGACCCGCTGAGAAGATCCGGCGAGAAACTCGGAGGGCAGATGTTTAGGTTAGGTTGCACGTCGAACTCTTTGCCGAGTTCGACGAGTACGGTTACCGGGGTAACACTTTTCATACGTTCCGTTCTTATGCATTATCTATGTACATGTTAAGGTACTATTTTTAGTAAGTAATACTTTTGACAAACACATAAAACCCTTTCTGCAAAAGTTTGATTTTAAACATTAAGGACTATTAATGCGAAATTGTTTTACGTTGTTATGCCACAATGTTTCATAAACAAATAAAAAACTCGAAACTTTTCTTTTTTTTGTTTGTTTTAATGCAATTAACCATAGTAAAGAAAGTTAGTGTTTGTTGATTAACTCTACTCATATATGGCTGTCTTTGCCTGAAAAAGTGGTTACCCATGGAATTTATTTTTATATTTTATTGCTTACTTGCCACGCAACTAACCGGACACCGGACCTAATAAATAGGCTTAAAAAGCGACAAATCCTAAGTCTTGATAGACACGGTTGACAGAGTGGAGCACGTACTCTCAAATCGGATACGGTAGTAACTATGCCCCCCCTCGTGGGCCCCTCAGGCCGACTCGCGGCGTTCGATGATGACGAAAAAGCAGAGCTGCTGGCCGATACATTGCAAACCCAGTGCACGCCCAGCACTCAATCCGTGGACCCTGTTCATGTAGAATTAGTAGACAGTGAGGTAGAACGCAGAGCCTCCTTGCCNTTTTACCATCGCACCGCCCGCCACCGGAGTAGAGTTCATCCATACTACCTGGAGCCACTGCGGTCATCCACAGTGCGCTTCCAGAGATCTTTTTTGCCACGTACCATCCGGCTATGGAATGAGCTCCCCTCCACGGTGTTTCCCGAGCGCTATGACATGTCCTTCTTCAAACGAGGCTTGTGGAGAGTATTAAGCGGTAGGCAGCGGTTTGGCTCTGCCCCTCGCATTGCTGAAGTCCATGGGCGACGGTAACCACTCACCATCAGGTGGGCCGTATGCTCGTCTGCCTACAAGGGCAATAAAAAAAAGGTACAATTTTTGGTAAGTAATATTTTTAACAAACACATAAAACCCTTTCTGCAAAAGTTTGATTTTAAACATTAAGGACTATTAATGCGAAATTGTTTTACGTTGTTATGCCACAATGTTTCATAAACAAATAAAAAACTCGAAACTTTTCTTTTTTTTTGTTTTTTTTTAATGCAATTAACCACAGTAAAGAAAGTTAGTGTTTGTTGATTAACTCTACTTATATATGGCTATATTTGCCTAAAAAAGTGGTTTGTTTAAATATAATATATACCCATGAAATTCATTTTTATTTTTTATTGCTTAGATGGGAGGGAGGGAGGAGCTCACAGCCCACCTGGTTTTAAGTTGTTACCGGAGCCCATAGACATCTATAACGTAAATGCGCCACACACCTTGAGATATAGTTCTAAGGTCTCAGTATAGCCACAACGGCTGCCCCACCCTTAGAACTGAAACGCATTACTGCTTCACGGCAGAAATAGGCAGGGTGGTAGTACCTACCCGTGCGGACTCACAAGGCGTCGTACCACCAGTAATTACGCAAATTATAATTTTGCGGGTTTTCTTTTTATTACCCGATGTTATTCATTCACTGTAGAAGCCATTCGCGAACATTTGTTAAGTATGTATGTCATTACAAAAGGTGGTACCTGCCTGTGGGATTGGAACACCGTTGCATGGATGATCTTGATGGAGTTTGATGGCATCAATAAAAATATTGCAAATGTCTTACAAGTATATTAAAACTTCTTATACTTAAATATTAAATTAACTTACGTATTCGAAAGTTTCTTTTACAACACTATGTCATTTTATTAAGATTCATTATCCAACGTTTTAATGCTAAATGGTCATTGCGTTGCTATTATTAGAGATTAGCATTCCGATTACATTAAAACTTAAGTATGTTACAAAACAATGAAATTCTACCATACAATGTTCAATTACATTTCTGTTATTTTTATTTACATAATTATGATAATTAAAACTTATTTTATTACTACTGTTAAATAGCGTTAATGAAACTAAGTCTGTCATAACGGAAAATGTTTGAACTAATGAAATAAAAATAATAAATTAGAGATGAAACCGTTCAAGTGAGCAGTTTTAATTATGTCTCAAAAACGCGTCGCGAAAATCGAGAAAATACTAAGGGTCGATTCGACCAAACAAGAGTAAATCTTATTCTTAGAATAACTCGTCAGTTAATCGAGAGTAAATCAATTTTACGTTTTACCAACTACAATTCTAAGAATAGTGGGCCTATTCGGGAATTGTTACTATACCGCCGTTTCGCACGGAATAACGGAGCTATTCCTAGAATAAAGTAATGGCGTCTGTCAGTCCAACATCTGATTTCTGTCATTTCATAAATATTTATTCTGTTTTAATTTCAAGTCAACGCAATGCACTAAATGATTATTAATAGTCTGAATGCAACGTTTAAACGAAAAAAGATAAAACCACACGACAAAACTTGACAATTCCCTCAAACAAACAAGAAATAAAAATAATACGTTTGACAGCTGGATATCTTACACAACAGCTACTTTTTCACACTAAAATACGGCAAAATCGAGTTGACGATTTGTATGCTCTTACACTATGCCGTTGAACAACAACATTTATTTGCCGGATTTTATTTTTGTTCACCATTCACTCTGCTATTCGCGTATTGTTATTCCTAGCGCAAGTATACGTGGAAAAACGACTATGAATTTACTCGAGATTAAAATCATGGAATAGGTTATTCCTCGTATAGTTACTCGAGTTTAAATTTAAGTTTGGTCGAATCTGCCCTAAGTAAAATATTGTTACGCCGGGAAGAGAAACGCCATCAATCGCCGAATAGTCGAACGAATATCAAAGGACCTAGAATGCTGGGGAAGTACAACGCCATCTATTGTTAAATAGCGGAAACACAATACTAGAAAAGTGTGGAATATTCTCGATAATTTTAGGGATGTGGTATCGACTATAAAAGCGTTGCAGAGATGGCACGCAGCGGTCAGTAAGCGGAACTACTCGAAGCGAAACAGCGAACGGATCACTTGAAGCGAAGCGGAAGAAGCGAATTGAGAAATTAAAAGTGATTGTGAAGTGTTTTAAGTGTTCTAAGTATTGAATACAGTATTAACTTGTAATTCGGTAGAATTTTTTATTTATTCCGAACCCCAGCGCATAACAATATCATTACGAATCGATACAGCAGAGCGATACTACGTTAATCGGAAACTAAAGACTATAAAACTAATCGTTTTATTTTCAAGTTAACTAAAATACTGGCGTTTTATCAAACGAAATACACATACAAAATATAAAGAGAGAGAGGATAAAGAAAATTTGCTGAAAGAGAACTTAATATTATATTTACATATATCACTTCAACATATTATATCCAAACATTCGACAATGTGAAGTCATGACAGCTAATACGAGAATTTTCAGGCTACAACATTCGATAAAATTTTCAGAGAAATCTTTGTTTTTTTTTAACGGTTCTACAAATTTTGATTTTGGAAACGGTGTTGCGAACAATCAAAGATATCCAACAGAATATCGTTAACGAGAAATATTAATTGTTAAGAATTTATTAACACCGAAGCTCTAGTGATTTCAATATTGAAACGGAATCATAATAATAAATATTTCCTGTTTAAACTGGAAATTATTAAACTGGAATGATAGCTTCGCTCCTAAAATAGGCAATACAATAGCTTCTAACTAGACAAAATTACAAAACAGCCTGCTAGTAGAAAATGGTCGTAGGAGTTACGGGGAAAACTTCGAAAGATAACTTGGGGACCTTCAAGCTGAGATGCACGACTATTTTACCTTAGAAATAGATAACCAGTATCCGTATCTAAGTCCGCAATATCCTCTACTACTGGTCTATCTTAATGCGCTTCTAACATTAATTCCTAGACTTTATGTATCTTCCAGTAAATCTGACGTTGATTGTTTGATCTCGTCATTGACATGTTCAAGCGTCTCTTGGCCGCTTTGTGTTTCGTCTTGAAGCAGTTTCAGTTGATCCCTTTGTTTCCTCGAGAAGAAACCAGCCTGCGAACCGAGTTTGAAAATCGTAAAAAAAGAGGCAACATAATTACGATTAAAAGTGTGGTCTCTTAGAGAGGTTAAACACAATTGTTGCCCATCTTAGGCACTGTTAATAATTTGTCAATATCTATAGTATGTCGTCGTGGTCTAAAGGATAAGACGCCGGGTGCATTCGTATTGAGCGATGCAACTACTTCGGTGGCAAGTACCAAAATTTCCATTGAAATACGTACCTAACATACGTTCACGACTGCCACGGCGAAGAAATAACATCGTGTATTAAAAATAAAAATCCACAAAAGTTATGATTTGCGTGATTATTAAATTGTGAGTATTAAAAAAGTAAGAGTTTTGAATTTTTTGCGGAAGTTCGGATACCATTAACGGAACCTACGTCACATGACCTCGTGCGATTGTTGGGATAATTTGCGGTACTGTTTTTATTTGATGGCAGATACCACTATCCTGCCTAGTTCTACCGCGAAGCAGTCACGTGTTCCGTTTTGAAGGGTGGGACAGCCTAATATAATAGAATAGACTTAATTTATCAGCACTACAATCAGTAAATGCCGATTGGCGATGGCAATGGTGATTGGCGATTGGAGATCGCTGTTGTCCATTCTCTGGTGAATCCCTTAATCGCCTCATAGAACACCAACGGTAAGGGATGGGGTAGTGCTCTTCTAGACCGAAATACCCAATGCTTCTAATATTGAGAAGTATTACTTACTTTGTATAATCCGAAAACAATTGCGGCAAGAACAATGAAGCCGACCACCGAGCCAACTATTTGTGGCCAGATCGGCGGAACCGGCTCCAGAATCAACGTAGTTGTGATTTCAAACGATCTAAAATGAAAAGGTATAATAATGTTAAAATCAGGGACCTTAACAACTGGACACGCATTGTGGTTACTTAACCTTTTTTTTGGATTTTGTTTCGCACCTTTGGTCAGAGACAGATTGCGGCAGATAGGTATTATTAAAGAACTCCCTTAGGTCATAAACGCCTGTTTGGTCCAAAACATCGAAATAATTGTATCTTTCGCAGCTTAATATTACACTAATTATTTATTTACTATTGGCAATCTTATCACATTGAAAATGTGCGATAATGAGTTTATTCCTGACCACGGCGAATGGCACATTAAATAACAAAATCGTGTGAGATTCCGTTAAATTATAGTATGTACTCATATCCGTTAAGGCTGCGGTACGCGTGGAATGGCGACATGTTGTGAAGCGCACCATCACCCGAACTGATGTCCACGACCACACTGCCAACGATGACTAAGAACAAGAAATCCCTCGTCCGGGCGTAATTGGAATAGCCTCTTAGGCTACCAGCGAATAGGTAGGGAATTTAAATAAATGCCCCAAGGACTATCTACTAAACTATATGACTTTAGGGCATTTAGACAGTGGCGTTTTCTCATCAGGGAGAAGAGGTCGACCGAAGACGACATGGATGGAGTGTGTGAATGACAATATGAGAGAGAGAGAGAGAGGAGTGAGTGTTGAGATAACTGCTGATAGAAGAGAATGGAAGAGAAAAATTTGCTATGCTGACCTCACCTAGTGGGATAAGGTGAAGAAAAGAAGTTGAAGTTTTCTCATGACCAGATATGATTGCACACCTTTTCTCAGTCAAGCAAGAAGTCGTAATCGTTACCTACTTATTTAGATCCTTCAAGCGCAGCACGATTGCAGTGGTGACGTTGAAATTATTGTTGGATTGTAGAAAATCTCCTGTAAATAAATAAAAGCACTTTAGAATTGTTAAAATGCGAATTGAAAAGTCACATTTACAAAAACGCTACACATTTATATAATAAAATGTATATTTTTGAATTTGTTACATACTTTGCAGTCCTCTGTGACGCGACGAAAAATAATTAAATTCCGTATTTACTTATAAATTGTTTAGTTCTTAGATCAAAACAGTACCTAGCTACTTACACATCTTTCTATATCCATAGATAATAATATTACTTTGAATGAATAGTCTGTATTGTTGTTGGGATTCGACGTCTGCACTCCAAGACTCTTTTGAATAAAAATGTATAGAAAGTAGAAGTAATCCGTAGAAGGGAGGCGATCTCCACGGAGCATACAAATAACCTTATCCGTTGAATAGAATTCTCAAGCATTAGTATATCTTTTGCACATCATGCTAATTTAGCAGAATCGAACTCTTGAAGATAAATACGACTTTATTACTCTCACCGTGCTTAGACAAGTTGAACCGTAAATTCAGAATCACCGGCATGGATACCATAGCTGGTACAGACCATCCGCATTCCACGTGTGATTTGATGCTGTGGCAGCCCTTCAGCGAATCAATCAGCTCAATCTGTAAGTTTCGAAGTTTTGAAAGAAAATTTAACGAATAATCTTAAATGTTAAAAATAAGTATAGTAAAGAATAAGCATAATATTAGTAAAATACTAATTAAATTAAAAATCGCTCACCTTTTCTGGTATGATGATGTCAGCATCCAAAACATGCCAATTTGAGGGACCGTAGTTCGTGATCTTTAAAAAATTTTTTAAGTATAATAATGTCGATTTTTTATTAACAAATAGAGAAAGACGCGCTTACGTATGGTGCTTAGAGATTACTGCGGGCAATAGACATCATAACAAAATATTTGAATTTTACTCTCAGAGAAATTCAAAATTTCCTTTTCAGTAATATTAGTTGAAATTGGGCACGTATCTCGGAATCGGAGATAGTCAGCTATAAGCTTGCATAAATCTTTACTTTGACACCCTACGAAAAATAATAATATTGCCCTTGTTTGCAAACGCGTAAGGCCGTAATACGTCTTGTGAGTCTGCACGGATAGGTACCACGCAGGGTGGTGGTACCTATTTCTGCCGTGAAGCAGTAATGCATTTCGGTTTGAAGGGTGGGGCAACCATTGTAACTATACTGAGACCTTAAAACTTATATCTCAAAGTGAGTGGCCACCACTTAACAGCAGGCTGTGAGCTTGTCCACCCATCTAAGCAATAAAAAAAACAAATGTTCGGCCGATGTGGGTATCGAACCCACAACCCTCAGCGCAACCGTGTGGGCCACTAACTACTGGACCACCAAGTCATTTATATAGGTAATAAAGTGTAAATAAAAATTGATACCTTATAAAAATGCGTAAATAATATCATCTCGCCGTCATTCAACTTATCTCTCGAGACATGAATGGTAATATTTGGTAATTGATTACTAAAACAAATGAAAAAAAAAACACGTATATAGACAATGCTTCTTTTTGGAAAAATGTATCTCTAATAAACTATTTAATAAAATTTTGTTAAATTCAAATCATAAGCAACAAAATTTGTGTTTTTGTATGAATGTATTTGTATACGGCACTTAAAAATGTATGCAACTGTATTTAAATATATTTAAAAAAATTCTATTTGTATATGAGTAATAATGTTTTGTACCTGAAAGTAAGACTACGAAGTCAATGTAAAAGAATGTTTAAAACTAACTCTCACAAAATATGAAGTTGGAAAACAGAATTGCTAAATAGAAAAAAATATTGACATACCCGCTAATACTGAAATTAGCCACAGGATTTACATCGATTGTCAATTCTTTGCTTGCATCATCAGTAATGGTCCTATACAATAAATCTGCCAATTCAGCTTCAACAATAAACTTATCAGCTTCCTCAGTGTATTCCAGTTCAACCTCCCAAACTATTTCTTCGTTCCTCAATAAAGGGGCTGGCACATCACAGTTCATGATTAAATCTTCTAATGAACATTCGCTTGGAACTCTCTTAGGGGCAGACGGAAGAGTAATGTTGACTTTAGCACCGTAAGCTGGTTCTTCGGTGTTCAATATCTTCAATTTAAATCCTAATTTGTCGTCTGTACCTGGAACATATGGACTGTTTTCGGGTCAGAATCTGAAGGATTTTGTTCACGAGACGATAGTTAGATATAATTGAATTGGTGTCATGCTAAAAGCCCAGTGGATTTTTAAATGACATATGGACAGATTGATTCTTAGCCCATCCGTTGTTAGATGGTAACTGAACCCCAAAAGAATTAAGAACCAATGTAACGCAGGTTATTTGTACCAAGGCGTACAGAATCACAACATGATCTAAGAGGCTATTTAGAAAGTAGGTCTAATTATACAGGGAAATAAACTAACGCTACCTTACTACGAACTGATAATTTGGAAATTCAGTCGCAGTTTTAGGAGATTCAGACTACAAAATTGTATCTTATCAATGCCTACTAGAAAGATTATAATGATATTAAAACATCATCGGACTTTGTTTGTCACTTAATTAAACAGCTAATGAACCGTTGATATTCTTACTACCCATATAATGTTACATTACGTCCGCATATTTCTAGATTTTTCTTTCAACCATTATCATCAATTTCTTTGGAGACTTACTGGACTGAGTCTAGTAAAGCTTACCTTGTCAGCGGTTCCAGAGTCATCTTCAGCCATGGTAAGCAGATGAGATCGTTACCACAGTCCCTTAAAATTTGCAATAAGAATGTGGCGCGGAGAGTCGACTCTTCAGATAATCTCGCAGCGTCATATAAAAATTCTCTTGAGTCTTCTATAAAAAAGTGTAACATAACAGGCCCATTCTTTGAATTCTATTAGGCTTCTAAAGCAAATAGGTTAAACTACATTTAATCAACGTGCGATCTTTTTATGAAAATTGCAACAGTGATAGTCGAATGTTCTGATTTTGTCATTCCTAGCCGTTGTTTTAACGTGTTGCAGGACATACTTGAATATCTGAGCTTTTTTACAAAGTTTAGAGGCAGGTTGTATAGTCGTCGTGGCCTAACGGATAAGACGTGTGGTGCATTCGTGTTGAGCGATGCACCGGTATTCGAGTCTCAGGCGGGTACTAATTTTTCTAATGAAATACGTACTCAACAAATAAATGTTCACGATTGACTTCCATCGTGTAATAAAAATCAAACCCGCAAAATTATAATTTGCGTAATTACTGGTGGTAGGACCTCTTGTGAGTCCGCGCGGGTGGGTACCACCACCTTGCCTATTTCAGCCGTGAAGCAGTAATGTGTTTCGGTTTGAAGGGTGGGGCAGCCGTTGTAACTATACTGAGACCTTAGAACTTATATCTCAAGGTGGGTGGCGCATTTACGTTGTGGATATCTATGGGCTCCAGTAACCACTTAACACCAGGTGGGCTGTGAGAACGTCCACCCATCTAACCAATAAAAATAAAAAGTTGTATCAACAGGTGCTACCTGAGTATGAAAGTATTGGGCGCCATTTTAAAAGGTTTGATAGTTAAATAAAATAAATGTACTTATATTTTATAATTTAAAATTTTTATTTCACGGTATATTTAAACTTCTCTAGTATAGATATGAACCACCAATCTAGAGATGTGAGTTTGAAGGCTTGTATATAATGTATACTCATTACGGTTGTTTAAACAGGAAATAAGTTGTATTGCGGCCGTAATAGGCAAGATATTTGAATCTATCCACGCGAGCTTAAATTTAACACATACATGAGGATGGATTATGCAAATTTACAAATTCTAGTGCATATTTTTTACTACTTTGGCATCTTTCGTCGTCTAAATTCAAGATTGAGAACAGGTACTAGGTATGTATTTCTTTATAAAATCTAATTTGCGGGATTATTGGTGTATTCATAACAATTGAATTCCATTACTTACTCTTCAGGCGTTCTTCTAGAACTAATTCGTGTTTCAGGTATATCGGTGTTGACAGATCGGCAGTAGGCTAAAATTTATAAGGAGAATATTAAATTGTATTAAATAAAGGAGAATATTAAATTATATTAAATAAAGGAGAATATTAAAAGGAGAATATTTATAAGGAGAATATCAGATTAATAGTACTGAAGATCATTCTAAATAATAAAATACTTAAATAATTAATAATAACTTAATAATAATAACTTATATACTTAACAATAAAATACATCACATGGAAATTTTTTAAACGAAAAAAATATTTAATGGACCCGTTCTAAATATATTAATGATGACTATGTAAGAGATTGACCCTTGCTGGATATATGCATAAACAGCCTCGACACAATATACAGACCAGGTTCAGAGGTCAGATTTTTCGAAACCTTAGGCAAGTTAATATAGGTAAAACAGACAACGAAAAGTTGCTAGGAAATATGAGAGTAACGAATAAATAGAGCTAGATTGTAGATCGAAAGAAAAGAGTATAGGAATTGTTGTAGCCATTCATTGAAGTAGTAATAAGCCACATCAACTTATTCAATTATATTTTTAATTATGTTATTTTTTATTGTTTAAATGAGTAGACGGGTTCACGGCCCACCTGGTGTTAAGTGGTTAGCGGAACCCATGGACATCGACAACGTAAATGCCGCCACCTTGAAACATGAGTTGTAAGGTCTCAGTTTTAACAGTACAACGGCTGCCCCGCCCTTCAAACCGAAACGCATTACTGCTTCATGGCAGAAATAGGCAGTGCGGTGGTACCTCCTACCCGTGCGGACGTCCTACCACCAGTAAAAAATACCGCTTATCCTTCAAATACTTGCATTTTATTCAGTTGCGGAATGCAAAGATTGTTTGTTAAAACTGGTGGTGAGATTAAAGTTGCATCTCTGGGCTGCGGTAAGCAATTAGCACCCGATGCGCTGTAAGCTTACTGTTTCCATATACAACTATGAAAAAGTAGCATGAAAGTGAAAAATGTTCCGCTCATCTGTGTGCTTAGTGCGAGTTTTTTAACGTTCTCGATAGCGTAAAAGTTAGCTCATATTTGTATTGAATTATGGAATGGGATCGTTTCATTCACAGTTCCGATCGCAACGCTGTTGAGCCCGGACGCGTTTTCCTGAATAATTGTCGCTGCTGTCGCGATTGTGTGTTTAGTTTGCACGACATCGTCGTTGTCGCTTTGATCGCGACTTTGTTTTGCATTCCGGACGCTCTGTCGCTGGCATCGCGACCTTGATTCAGTAAAGCGTAATTCGAGTTCGTAGTTCTGCAATCGNCGTGTCGCCACAAAGGCTTATCGGGTATCTCAATACAGGCAAGCGCTGTGAATTCGGTTGTGTTCTGTGGTAAATTGATGGCATCTGGAACTTCGATCTGAGCGTGAACGTCCATGGATGGAATGCATCTGAAGAGGTAAACTTCAGCACTTTCATGAGCACCCACGGCTAGATCTGAAACCAAATTTTAAATTTATTTTTTAGTAAATGCTGGAGTGTACAGAGAAATTCATTTTTGATCAACATAGCAATTTTATGAAGCCCAAGATATATATAACTAGTAATGAGAGGGGAACAATTTTAAAAGAAACCTAATGCATCTAGAGTCCCTCTGCACTATAAGTTCTCGGTTTCTGATAGTTTGTTAATGTTACATTCTTTAAAGTTCCAGATTTATTTTTTACTGGTGGTAGGACCTCTTGTGAGTCCGCACGGGTAGGTACCACCACCCTGCCTGTTTCTATCGTGAAGCAGCAATGCGTTTCGGTTTGAAGGGTGGGGCAGCCGTTGTAACTACATTGAGACCTTAGAACTATATCTCAAAGGGGGTGGCGCATTTACGTTGTAGATGTCTATGGGCTCCAGTGACCACTTATCACCAGGCTGTGAGATCGTTCACCGTCCTAAATAATAAAAAAAATAAAAACCCGAGTGCGGCCCTGCGCTGGACCATGGCACTATAATTTTAATATTCGACGATACTCGCAAAATGCTTTCGTTGAGTTGAGTTCGAGAAATACATACGCTGGGTGCTCCACTATTAATAATTAACATATATTATGTATTTGATCACTCTTTATTTAAATATAAAATTGTAGTTAATTGGTGGTATCATTTCCTACAACGAAACCACACACACAATATTAATGATACTTTTTGTCACTTGTACACACATGTACAATATTCACGATTGTCATTGTTTTTAATTGAAGTCGTTGTGGCCTAAAGGATAAGACATCCGGTGCATTCATATGTAGCGATGCACCGGTGTTCGAATCCCGCAGACGGGTACCAATTTTTCTAATGAAATACGTACACAACAAATGTTCACAATTGACTTTCACGGTGAAGGAATAACATCGTGTAATAAAAATCAAACCCGCAAAATTATAATTTGCGTAATCACTGGTGGTAGGACCTCTTGGGAGTCCGCACGGGTAGGTACCACCGCCCCGCCTATTTCCACCGTGAAACAGTAATGCGTTTCGGTTCGAAGGGTGGGGTAGCCGTTGTAACTATACTGAGATCTTAGAACTTATATATATAGAATAAAAATAATAAAAATAAAAAATTAAAATAATAATAATTGCATTCACAAAAAACATATTAATTTAAGTTTAAGAAATACCGTTCAACTCCAACTTAATAGTTTTATTTTATCAATTACTAACAAATCATGGGTTTAATACAAACATTTTCAGTCTGTTCTTACCACTACAGTTATTGTTATCCACGTCGTATCCTTTAGATATTGACATTCCAAAGCTTCTTGCGCCTTCCGGTGATATCCTCTGAATGTGATTACTTCTCAAACCTTTCTTATGTCCTTTGTAAATGTAGACAGCGCCAGTTCCTTCATCCTCCCAGGGTGCGCCTATGGCAATATCTGAAAGCATTTAGTGAGATAAAGATTTTAAGGTTAAAGTACTTGAACAGAGAGATAGATTCTCAGTGTAGATGCTGCTCTTGTTAGGGCTAGTGTAAGCAAATTCTCTCAGGTAAAAAGATTCATCCTGTTAGGAATGTAATCATGTATGATGTTTCCATTTCAACCGATGGCTTGTCTACAAATTTTAGCTAACAAGAATATACCGACCACATCACGTAAGATATAAATAAACTGCTGATATCTCGACTTGTTTACTATTCTACGTCGTAAATCATGATCTAGTTATTAAGATTAGAAATGCTGGGCAGTTTATGTGACTTTTTGATTCCTGGTCAAGATTTACAACTAATATCTTATTTACCTTTATAGCCATCCCCATCAATATCACCCAAATCAGCAATAGCTATCCCAAAATGAGCTCCGCTCGCACCAGAGCCGAGGACCATACCCGCTTCTTCTAAAACAAAGCTCGAATCCTGTAACAATTATTAGTGTGTATATTTGTAAATTATAAATCTGCCCAAAAATTTTTTTTATCACAAAACGGTGTATTAAAATCCCAATTATCGAACAGAGTGTCAATTAAATTTAAATGTTGAATCAAAAAAGTACCTCATGTTTTTAATAGAGAATCTCTCTTCAAATTCACTATACTTATCGAACGCTTCTATCTTGTCTAAATCTAGTCGCGTTAAAATCATTCTTAATATCTCGGTCAGGTTCTAGCCTAGGTTATGGATAAAGACTAGCTAGCAATAGTTAAGAGCTGATAGCCTAATCGGACTGTAGTCAAATTAGCAAAATAAGACCTACGAGTCCTTCGAAATTTGTATTGTACTGTCTTTTCTATTGTGTATTTTTTATTTTTTATTTTTAAATTTTTGGTGTGCAATAAAAGTACCCATGTTTATTGGTATTTATTATATATTTTCTACATCATCATCATCATCATCATTATTTCCTATTACCCTCTGCTGAGGTATAGGGCTCGAATCATTTTTTTCCATTTACATCGGTCTTGGGCAGTCTGTTCTAGCTCCTCCCACGTCATGGCCAAGACACCCAGCTCCTGCTCTACCGAACGACGCCAAGTTGTTCTGGGGTGGCCTCTCTTCCTTTTTCCAGACACTTTCTAGACCAGTGTTCTCTTTGATAGAGATTTTCTACATCAATATAATAATTTTATAAACAGGACTTACCTTCTCTCGAGTCATGTAAACGAATACGGCGCCTTGATCAAAAGGCAGTCCACCATCTTTCTTCACATACGTTGGTGCTCCAACCAGCAGATCTGATCGGCCGTCACCATCAATGTCTGTACAGCAAAGACTAGCTCCAAAATAAGCTCCGAGATGCGGTCCTACCAATTTCGCCAAGATATTCAAGGGATCCTTCTCTCTTTGAACTGGTTTGAAGACTAAAACCTGAAGAAGAAAATGTTCTCGTTTTTAATTGTAAATATAAGAGGAAGTATTTACATCATAACGTGAATTCTGATACACGAGGTTAAGGTATGACTATTATTGTATAACGGCTATGTCAGTTCAAACTGAAAAGCTTGACTGGTAGGCAGAAATGGGCAGGATGGTCATCGCCAGCAATTACGCATATTTATGAACTTTGCGGGTTTGATTTTTATAACAATCGTCGTTTTATAACAATATTCGTTCATCGTAGAAGTATATTGTAAAGAAATTCCAGCTATGTATTTCTTTAGAAAATTTTTAGATACTTGAAAGTTTTAAAATACGGCATAGTCGCGACATGAGTATACTGTGTACTTAAAATCATGTGGATTTTTCCTATCTCACATAGTTTGGTATACAATGTTTCCATGTTGTAGTTGGATGAGTGATTTGATGTTATTGGACCGGTCGTCGTTGACCTTAATTGTCTTGAACCTTCGATAGAAGAACAAAAGCACGCTGAGACAGTACAGAAAAAAGTTCAAAATAGAGGGCAGAGATCAATTATGTCTATAAATGTGATTCCTATAAGTGATATAAGAGAGTAAAAGGTAGTTAAAATAGTAGATATGAACTCCTTAGGAAGGGTGAACAGTTAATGGAATTGTGGAATAGTGGCGAAGGAAGAGTGAAATAGTTAGGAGTACTAGACTTGATTCTTATAATACAGACATCTACAACGTAAATGCCGCCAGCTACCTTGAGACATGAGTTATTAAGTCTCCTATTTTACAGTACAACGGCTGCCCCATTTTTCAAACCGAAACGCATTACTGCTTCACGGCAGAAATAAGCAGGGTGGACTGTTTTACACGTGGGCTATTCAAGTTGTCGTGATACTTACCTCTCCATATCCCATATGTGCACGCGGACCTCCGCTTACATACAATACGCTCCCGTTTGGTTCGAATATGCCAGACTCTACACTGTAACCTGTTAAAATATTTTCAGATTAATGCACGTTCAAAGATGTTCCTTATGTGATATGAACTGAGATAGAGTTGTTTATTACTAGCCAAAATAACATAGAAGTTGTCGCTTATATCAGAGGACTTATTGACTTATTGCAGGGACTGGGGTGGCAGAAGTGAAATTAGTAACGAATCGCAGAGAAAGCGTATAGAACTCAGAGCCCACAACACTAACATTACGAACAAAAACCATTTCTTAGCTTCTTAATAAATCCATGTAATTGTATTTCAAGTGAACTTACCGAAATAGCTATAAGGTTCAAGATCCCGGGTGTAGTAAGGATTCGAAGTTGTCTGTTTGCTGATATACGAGCTCTCCTCGTCCTGGCTGTATTTGAAACTCACGATACCGCCTATAAACAGCATTTAGAGATAAGATTTACTTAATTGGGATCAAAGGTTCATCTAAGCAAGCATCCTCTCCAGTTGTTGTTATAGTTAGCTGGTGAAGTATCCGTGGCCTTTTTTTTCCTACCTATGCTGATAATCTTGAGAGGCTATTTCAGCTTCTCCTTGACGTGTAGGTGAGCTCACATGGCTCAAATCGGGAGTGTTGCTAACACTGGCCCTCGAAAGAGCAGTGCTTCGCAGTATCTACTACCGGATCGGAAACGCCATCCATCCCACGAGAAGATCTCGTGGCATGGGTGGCGTTTCCCTCCCATCTCGCCGGATCCCACGAGAAGATCCGGCGAGAAACTCAGTGGGCATTAGTATTCCAATGCGAAATGCATGTATATACAAAATTTCATATCGAGGGCTGAAAGGTGCATTTTATTTGGTATTAGCATCAACAATTCGATGTTGATGCTAATACCGGTTGAGCCCCGTGTTGAGCCCCGTGAGCTCACCTACTAGCCCGGTGAATAGCCCCTTGAGGTTACTAGAATAGGTAGGAAAAAAAAAGGAATACCAACTAATATTATTTTTAAGTGAAACAAAGCGCTCCGAGCACCGGCTAGCCACGACACCCAAAGAACTTTTAATATAATAAATGTACTAACCAGTCCATTGCAGTAGACCAGGGGCTCCGACGATCACGTAATTGTCTTCGGTCACTTTGGTCGACATTCCCGCTTGACCGTAAGCGTAGAAGTTGACATGGACACCGTATTCCCCGTATTCAATCCTGTCACCGTTTACCACGAAAGCCTGGCGATCTATATAAAGATATAGAAAAAATACAACCCATTATCTTAATTTTGGATGTTTTTACTGCGTCTTTCGATATTAAAGTTAGAGATTTTTTTATTGCTTAGAATGAGTGGACGAGCTCACAGTCCACCTGGTGTTATGTGGTTACTGGAGCCCATAGACATCTACAACGTAAATGCGCCACCCACCTTGAGATATAAGTTCTAAGGTCTCAGTATAGTTACAACGGCTGGCCCACCCTTCAAACCGAAACGCATTACTGCTTCACGGCAGAAATAGGTATGGCGGTGGTACCTACCCGTGCGGACTCACAAGAGGTCCTACCACCAGTAAACGTTCTTAGTAAGACTCCTCTAGTTACTGCTACCACGTTTTATATAGGGAACGCAAATGGTCTATTAGAATAGATGCCGAAACGAATTAATTAAACACAATTGTCCTTTTAGTGAAATGATATTTGGTGGAATCGGTGTAATGCAGACGCTTCTGGCAGGGTAGCCGTCCCTACGATACCCTAAACTCCGGGCGCCCGTTGATATTCAATTATCTAACACAAATATAATTTTGAAACGTGTTTCTCATAGTCCTATCCTTCAATAGTATACTAGGTATGAGCGTTAGGATATTTAATAAACTACCAAAGAAATTAAGAGACTTAGACGATTTTCATTTTAAGAAAAAACTAAAAGATAATCTTTTTAGTGGAAATTATTATCACATAAATGATCTTCTTAGGGACGACATTGAAAATAAATGGAATTTTTAATTATTGGTTGAATTATGGATGAATGAATGGTAAATTATATCTAATATATAAAATTCTCGTGTCACAATGTTCGTTCCCATACTCCTCCGAAACCGCTTGACCGATTCTCATGAATTTTTTTATGCATATTCAGTAAGCCTGAGAATCGGTTACTATCTATTTTTCTAACCTTTAAGTGATAAGGGGTGTTCACACCAAAAAATTTTTTTAATTTTTTATATATATTTTTTTTTTAATGTTTTGTGTTTTGTTATTTTTAAACAACATTCCATCATCGTTCACAGCGCTCCAGGCCTTTTTCACTCATATTCCACATCCTTATACACTTCCAATATGTTAGTAATTTTTTTCTACACTAGAAATTCTCTAGAAATCTTATATATGACAAGACAACGTTTGCCGGGTCAGCTAGTAAGTAATATTATAATATCTTGCACTGCACTAAAATTCGCATGTCAAATAATGACAAAGCATACACGCTGCTTTTAACTTATGTAATAACTCATTTTCACTATGCTTGGCGAATAAATGATTTCTTTCTTTCTTTCTTTCAAGGAAGCTCCAACATTATTAGTTCGTTCTCAGGAACATTTCGAACGCACCCTGTTTAATTAGTGTAGTGATGTAATAAAAACTTTAAGTACAATTAATTGATATGTTGTAACAGCATTCGTCTCCTGTTCGTTCGAAAATTTGAGGTCATTAAAACTGTAATATTAGATCTGTAAAATATCTTGCATCAAGCTCCACGATGCCCTTCACGAGGCCAAGGATCGCTGCAGATGGAGAACAATTGTACAAGAGAGACTGATGTAGCGAGGGAGTGACGACCCTCAGTAATGATGAGAATGACGTAAGGAGGAGGAAAACATATTCTATAATCTACCCCATAGTTTCTCGTAATGTTATCAGCAGTGGGACGTAAGTCCACTCGTGGGGGTGTCATTAACATGACAATTTTTACTGCGAAGCATTTGCGCGCGAAACTCAGCTGTATTACAAGAACATTAAAACTTATATATCTTCGGGGAATTTACATTTAGAAATATACTAAGTCCTGCTTAATACCAGGTCGCGGACCGCAATCATACAGCTACTCTTTTAATATTATTGTAATTTTTTGTCATATTTTTATTTATTTATTACACTTCATGTAAAATTTACATTGGCGGACTTAATGCCTAAGGCATTCTCTACCAGTCAACCAAAGGTAGTGCAGAGTAAATAGTGGTAGGTGCTATGAAATTTATATTAAGCTACGAATACATACAAAAATACATATATACAAAATCACATATACATATACATACATACATACAATATATACACACATATATACATATAATAGATTATACAAAATTAAGAGTATGTGACTACTAAAACCGTAAAAGTATTAAAATTGTTGAAAAAAGGTAATGACAATAAAAATAACGATTTTAAACGGTGCAAGTAGATTAAATTACATTTATTTTAATAAAAAAACCACTTTATTTACGAATGAAACACAATCCTATTTTTTTTATCATTACTGGTGCCCCGGAGGGCTTTCCAGTTTCACCAGGAAAGACGGGCGATCAAAGGCTCAGCCAGGAGGGGTGGGATTTACTAACAGCTGCCCGAGTGCATTCGAAAGAGATCTATCAACTCAAGAGAAGCTGCTTCGCGAATGAATCTACTACCGGATCGGAATCGCGACCCGCTGAGAAGATCCGGCGAGAAACTCAGCGGGCTGATGCATGGGTTAGGTTGCACGTCGACCTCTTTGTAGAGTTCGACGAGTACGGTTACCGGGGCCTCTAAGCCTGTTCCTAGTGTTAGACCTGAAGACGCCTAATGCGAAGGTTATTGATTCTGACAATCCTATTATTTTTATCAACGAGAAAACACAATAACGTAATATAATTTTTCAAAGAAAAACTTTAGTGTGCTAGAATGACATAATGTAGAAGAAATTTCGAAATGTTAACAAAGAACAACAATATGAATCACGAAATATTCCAACACACAATAGATAATGAATAAACATAAGTGACTCATTATTAATTGTCTTTTTTATGGCCCTATCGCTTAAAAGTCAGCTTCCGTTTTTATTTGTGTTTCGTCGCTCGTTAAAAGCAGAACAAGCTCACTGTCCACTGCTTGTTAAGTTTTTTTTTTTTCCTACCTATGCTGATAGCCTTGAGAGGCTATTTCAGCTTCGCCCTAACGTTTGTAGGTGAGCTCGCGGGGCTCAACCGGAGAGTTGCTAACACTGACCCTGGCAAGAGCAGTGCTTCGCAGAATCTACCACCGGATCGGAAACGCGATCCACTGAGAAGATCCGGCGAGAAACTCAGTGCGCTGTGTCTATGGGTTAGTTCGCTCGTCGAGCCCTTCGTCGCGAGCGACGGGTTCGACGAGGACGGTGACCGGAGCTTGTTAAGTAATGACTGAAGTCTATAGATATGCACGCCTGTGTATCTAGGATCTTGCCTATCGATGGCCTAAAAAATAATAATAATAATAATTGCATTTATTTACAATACAAATACAGATAAATTTTCAATTAATCTATCTCTATCTATATATTATATAAAAATTAATTGCTGTTCGTTAGTCTCGCTAAAACTCGAGAACAGCTGGATCGATTTGGCTAATTTTGGTCTTGAATTATTTGTGGAAGTCCAGAGAAGGTTTAAAAGGTAGATAAATGAATGAAAATGCTCGGAATTAAATAAAAATAACAATTTAGTTTTTCCTTTGATATCCGCCCCCGTCGGACGGATTCCTTTTGTTTGTTTTAAGTCTAAATTTATACAATAGTGTAGGTCTTTTATTTATCGATTGAGGGACTACGAAGTCTGCCGGACCAACTAGTATGACATAAAAATTCTAATTCTAAACAATATTACAATATATTATACTAACACAGTGGAGACAAAAAAGGCCGCGGCTCAGCTTTGCGATAGCTGAAACTATCACTGTTATTCTGCCGCTGCCCGTAATCTTCACTACATAGTATAAAACAAAGTCGCTTTCTCTGTCCCTATATCCCTATGTATGCTTAAATCTTTAAAACTACGCAACGGATTTTGATGCGTTTTTTTTTAAAATAGTTAGAGTGATTGAAGAGGAAGGTTTATATGTATTATAACATCAATTAAATAGTGGAGAAATCAATAATAAATTAAAGTTCCCGAAGCGAAGCGAGGGCGGGTTGCTAGTAATCTATAGACTTAAAAATAACTAGAGGTCCCGCAGTAGTCGAAATTCGACTATAATTAATTGGAATTGTAAGTTTGTATACTATTACGATTGTATTTTATTCTTCTATAATCACAAATTTCGCCAAGACTACACTATAAAAAATATTAACAAAGACAAACAATATTTAATCTATTCTCAAATTGACAACAGACGTCAAGAACAAAAGTTTGACAATAAATAGTATGCATGCGTGTGTGCGTCAAATACATGGTATGTAGTGTGTGTAATGTCTTTTTTATTGATTTAATGTATCTTTTATGCATTATTTAAAAAATATATTAGCATTGTGCACTTCTTCTCTATATTCTCTATAAGTGTGGAAAATTTCATAGTCCTCCGTCCGCGCAATTTTCGTAAAAAGGAATACAAAGTTTTTCCTTCACGTATTAATATATAGATAATACCTAAATTTAAAATTATGTCGCATAATCTACAGCATCCCTGCCTCCGCACTTTGCTGTTAAATAGTGCTTACCCATGTCCCTCAATGGATACAATATCCAGTCTCGTTCGTTTTTGTGCAAAAAACACACTCCGTTCGCCAAGTAATGCTTGCGTTTGTACGTGACCAGCCAACGAGGAGCGCAGATCTGTTTATAACAATATATAAAATTAAAAAAAATTAAAATAAACACTTATAAAATATTACTCAAACTCGATTGCTAGCTAGCCACTCAAAGATTCAGTTTGCTTTATTGTTTCTTGTCAGACCAATTTAGGACTATAAGTGGGTTTAACATTGATTTTTTGAAAAGTTATTTTCTTAGTTAATCAGTTGGATCGTTGTAGTCTAAAGGCCATAGGAGACACAGTAATGCAACTATGATAGCTTTTTTTTATTGCTTAGATGGGTGGACGAGCTCACAGCCCACCTGGTGTTAAGTGGTTACTGGAGCCCATAGACATCTACAACGTAAATGCGACACCCACCTTGAGATATAAGTTCTAAAGTCCCAAGTATAGTTACAACGGCTGCCCTACCCTTCAAACCGAAACGCATTACTGCTTCACAGCTGAAATAGGCAGGGTGGTGGTACCTACCCGCGCGGATTCACAAGAGGTCCTACCACTAGTAATTACGCAAATTATAATATAGGAGACACAGTAATGCAACTATGATAGCATTCAAATCCAGTAGACAGGCAGCGATTTTTAACAAGTACTTAACATATACTTACAAACGACTTCAACGATGAAGGTTTTTTATTGAAAGCTCACAGTCCATCCGGTTTTAAGTGCTTCGGAGCCCATTGGCATCAACAACATAAATGCCGTCACCCACCTTGAGACGTAAGATCTAAGTCTCAGTTTTGCAGTACAACAGCTGCCCCACTCTTCAAACCCAAACCTACTACTCCACGGCAGAAACAGCAATGTCTATGATACGTATTCACAAATACTTTTCAATCAATTCTGGTTTCAACTTACCAATAGTTTGTTCTTCGACATGGGGGCTATGGTTGCACCGAACCACATGTCATCCTTGATCATTTCGTCTAAAAACGACACGTAACCCAGATATCCTTAAAATAAAATTACGATTTAATAATTACTAGAGGTCCCGCAGTAGTCGAAATTCGACTATAATTAATTGGAATTGTAAGTTTGTACACTATTATGATTGTAATTTATACTTCTATAATCACAAATTTCGCCAAGACTACACTATAAAAAAATATTAATAAAGATAAACAATATTTAATCTATTCTTAATTTGACCACAGACGTCAAGAACAAAAGTTTGACAATAAATAGTATGCATGCGTGTGTGCGTCAAATACATAGTTTGTAGTGTGTGTAATGTTTTCTTTATTGATTTAATGTATCTTATATGTATTATTTAAAAAAAATATTAGCATTGTGCACTTCTTCTCTATATTCTCTATAAGTGTGGAAAATTTCATACTCCTCCGTCCGCGCAATTTTCGTAAAAAGGTATACAAAGTTTTTGCTTCACGTATTAATATATAGATTTCAAATACTGATGCTACTGGTAAGATTTGTGAAGCTCATGTTGTGAAGGTCATGATCTTGATCTTACCACTGTTAGTAGGGCGTTTAGGGTAGGGTACCTTCACTCCACCTATTTTCGAGACATAGCATTAATACGTATCGATTTGAAGATCGGAGCAACCGTTATTCTATTGAAATTAGACTTAAAACTCATGTGTCAAGGTGGGTGAAGGCATTTGCATTGTCCATGTTCATGTCACAGTTAACACCAGGTGGATCGTGAGCTCGTTTGCTCTATCAAGTAATAAAAAATCATATAGGATAAGCTTATGTTGTGATTTAGGCCTTTTCGCAGATAGCTATGCGTTAATCAGGCTATTTGCAGGCGTTCGAGAACATTATAAGGGACAGGCTTCTGAAAGATGGTGGCCACGATCCTTCAGATATAGGAATGCCATTTGTTGGACTGTTATCCTATGAATTATATAGTTTGTAAAATTATACTCCTATACAATTTGAAACGCCCAAGCAATTTGAGAATTGAACAAGGTGAGAATATTTTATGCATGTCAAGCCAAGAGTTCGAAAATTACTAGATTAGTTCGTTTTTATTTTTTCAAATGCTATTTCACAACATCTTAAATATCCTAAAGCAAATACTTATGAATACTAACTATAAACTTGAGTCAAAGAATAGAGAAACAGTCGTTTATATACTCACGCGAGCTACCCAGACTAATTACATTGCAAGTAACGTTGCTAGCATCCATCGTGTCCTTTAGAGGACAGTTGTAGACCAAACCTGATGAAACGGAGGAGGGCATTTTGGCCACAGCTTTTGGCGCACCAACTACGAGACTAAAAACAAAGGAGAGTTACAAATCATTTTAAAAGTAACCAGAAAAATAAGTCCTTCACATCAGAGTGATTGAGACGTAATGTAACTTATGAAAGGATGATGTTTGGTGAAAGTCAGTGGACTCCAACGTGAAAGGGGCATAGCTCCAGCGCATCAGTAATGGGACATAGCCGAGCCGTGTCAACTACTTAAGATCGACTTTGCAGAGGGACCCATCATAGTGCTCAGCAAAAAAATATAAAAGCAGCGTTCTTTGGAGAACCGTAAGATGGGTGCCATGTCTTTAGAAAAGCTCAGCTAACGCGATGCGGGTATTTTAGTATGTGGAAAAAATTTAGAAATTTATGGTAGGCAGTGGCTTGGCTCTGCCCCTGGCATTGCTGACGTCAATGAGCGACGGTGATCATTTACCATCAGGTGGACCGTATGCTCGTCTGCCTACAAAGGCAATAAAAAAAATGTACAGAGAGCTTTAGTCATTCCGTAGATCTAGGGGCTCCAAGCGTGTATGTCTACCGGTAGCTTGCAATGATCTTCAAACGCCAGCCATTCAAATGGTGGGACTTTGACGTCATATCGTAACGTGGCTGGACACCTGCACATTGCGGTATCTATAAAGACCGCTATCTTAAATGAATTAATAGTTGGGGTCACATGTACTTTATGTTTCCTGTAGTTTTCTATCAGGCATAATCTAATCATTCAATACGATGTTTTGCATTTATTAAAACTAGTGACCCACTCCGGCTCCGCTCGGGTCAACAAAAATTTCAATGATATTTGACGTTGTTTTATTTTTTTAAATAAAAGAACACTTATTGCGGCATAACTATAATAGTAAGACTAATGCTGTCGTAACACTTTTTGTAAATAATAATGTGTTCTTTAAAGTCGTGGTATATTATTTTATTCTATCATTAATAGTTTTCGCAGGGCACGCGATGTAAAGAATATTTTAGGTAATATTTTTATACCTTGAGTTACACTATTGGAATTTTAGTAAGGATCCCTCATTTTTTCCAAAAAAGATTATAGCCTATGTTACTCGGGAATAGTATATCTTCCAAACAGTGAAAGAATTTTTCAAATCGGTCTAGCAGTTTCGGAGCCTATTTAATACAAACAATTCTTTCCTCTTTATAATATTATCTTTATATTATTAGTATAGACAATTCTTAAAGTCCAGGATGTTCTAAAAATACAACATTATGTTGTATGTAATTTATCATTTAGGGCGGATTCGACCAAACTTAAATTTAAACTCGAGTAACTATACGAGGAATAACCTATTCCATGATTTTAATCTCGAGTAAATTCATAGTCGTTTTTCCACGTATACTTGCGCTAGGAATAACAATACGCGAATAGCAGAGTGAATGGTGAACAAAAATAAAATCCGGCAAATAAATGTTGTTGTTCAACGGCATAGTGTAAGAGCATACAAATCGTCAACTCGATTTTGCCGTATTTTAGTGTGAAAAAGTAGCTGTTGTGTAAGATATCCAGCTGTCAAACGTATTATTTTTATTTCTTGTTTGTTTGAGGGAATTGTCAAGTTTTGTCGTGTGGTTTTATCTTTTTTCGTTTAAACGTTGCATTCAGACTATTAATAATCATTTAGTGCATTGCGTTGACTTGAAATTAAAACAGAATAAATATTTATGAAATGACAGAAATCAGATGTTGGACTGACAGACGCCATTACTTTATTCTAGGAATAGCTCCGTTATTCCGTGCGAAACGGCGGTATAGTAACAATTCCCGAATAGGCCCACTATTCTTAGAATTGTAGTTGGTAAAACGTAAAATTGATTTACTCTCGATTAACTGACGAGTTATTCTAAGAATAAGATTTACTCTTGTTTGGTCGAATCGACCCTTAATATTTAAAAGAGCTAACTGGCTAATGGTTGTTCAAAATTATTTGATTGACATTTGATCTTTCTTAAGCGAAATAGGCAAATTCTTAGGCAAAATAGGCAAATAGGAATTAGGCAATTATGCCGAAAGGCAT